AAGAGCAATAATATTAGTATTTATCTCATAAAGTTGTGATGAAGATTAAAAGAAACGGTGTGTGGAAAGCCCTTAGCATGGTGCTTGCCCATACTAAGCTGCTCAATAAATAATAGCCATTGTTATTGATCATTCTAAAACCCTGTGCTTTTAGGCAGTCAATTTCAATGCCCTTTTAAATAGTCAATTTCAATGAGAAAGAATGCAAGGATTTAGTGAAAAAGGAGTATCCTCCACAGACTCCCAGGCATTATTCCAGAATGCTCTTCAGTATGATGTAAGCAAACAAAAAAAGGACTAAAAAAGATGGAGTGAGGGGTCCCAACCATCCTGGTTTGTTTGGAACCAGGGGATTCCTGGGAAACTAAAGTAGGGTCAGTTTTCTCCTTCAATTTTCAGAAGGGAGGAAATATTTACTCCCAGGAGAGGGCACTAATGGAATTAAGAGTGGTCATTTCCCCTCCCTCTTTTTTCCCCTTAGCAGGAATGACTCACCTTGATGATGACACTGGGAAATAGGATGGAGCAAGCATAGCACATGCACTTGGGAGGGGTCGGCCTGCCCACTCCCAACCAAGTGTGTGTCCTTGAGTTTCCCATGTGAGAACCTTATGGGGCAGGCTCTGGACTTGTTTGGGAGACCAGTTGTTTGGCATGCAAGTGAGTGGAAAAGTTCGGTTTGGGAGCAGAAGATTTAGGAAACTGCATTTGGCCATAGGTCTGAACCCTGTTCTGCAAACAGCAACAATAACGTTGATACTGTGATTTCTTCCTGACATCTGTGTCTATTTCTAAATTGGTTCAGAACTCAAAGAAGAAAAGGGATATAATTAATTATCAACCATGTGATTAATTATCACCTTCATAACCCCTAACAGATGGATGCCTATTTCATTTCATTGGCAGAGGAACCTATTTCAGGAAGGCAGGGAAAGGGTATTTTGTAAAATCAAATGAAGTTAGAGCTGGGAGTGACCTTAAAGATAATCTAGTCCAATATCTTCATTGTTATAGATGAAAATATACAAAAATGAAATGGCCAAGTGATACAATCCATGTGAAAAGTCTGTGAAAGACTTTTATAATGTAAGTTATTAGTGTCATTAGTAATTTAGGGAGTGGTTTTTAAAGTTGTAACCAGAATTTAAAATAGATCATAGATAACACAGAAAATAGATTACAGATTAAAACTAAAACTAAGTCCCTATACAGAGAGAGAATATTTCCTAAATAAAACTAATGGCTCCAGGAAACATGCTCAAACCATGAAGAAGAAACCAGCAGTTCAGAGTTAAATTTTATTTTAATTGGAAAAAACCTACCTTAGGTTGACAAGATTGCTTACTCACAACCTTGAAGACCAGATAAGCTCAAAAATGAACTAGTTTTTCTCCTTTGTCTTCATCCTGCCCATCTATCCTAGCAGATCCTCTTCATTGGGAATGTTTACTTCATAATTGTTAACCAGGCATGTCCCACTGGCAAAGTAAGGTTGTTTGCTGGGCACCTCAAGACATACGACATATAAGACTCTTTGGCTAAACCCCGCCATTTCTGGTCTCACCTTTGCCTCTTACCCATTACTTTCACTCATCAGAGCACATAGAAGTGGCTTTTAGATAGTGTCCAGTCCTGGGTGAGTTGGAGGAGGCCCACTTCACCCTCTCTCTCTCTCTCTCTTTCTCACTGAATACAGCTGTAACACCTGGACAGAATGCCTCGAGCAACTATTTTAGGCCTCCGAAGAGTTAAGAATGTCAGGCAGATTAGGAAATGTATTAGTCCATTCTCACGCTGCTAATAAAGACATACCTGAGACTGGGTAATTTATAAAGAAAAGAGGTTTAATTGACTCACAATTCAACATGGCTAGGGAGGCCTTAGGAAATTTGTAATCATGGCAGAAGGGGAAGCAAACACATCCTTCTTCACATGATGGCAGGAAAGAGAAGTGCCAAGCAAAAGGGGAAAAGCCTTTTATAAAACCATCACATCTCATGAGAATTCACTCATTATCCCAAGAACAGCATGAGGGTAACCAACCCATGATTAAATTACCTCCCACCAGGTCCCTCCCAGGACATGTGGGGATTATGGGAACTACAATTCAAGATGAGATTTGGGTGGGGACACAGAGCCAAACCATATCAGGAGATAAGACTGGGATTTGAAATACTACCCAACCAACAGTGAGTTTACTCCTTTTTTCCTCCAGTAAACCCTGGCCTAAAGTCGACACACCAGAAATGGGCACCAGGGTACAAAGAGACCTCCTGAGACACCCTGTAGCTCTGGTTTTAGCAGCGGGAAAGTAAATTCCGTAGAGTCAGAGTGTGAAAATTCTCTGTGTTTCTCTCTTCTCCCCCTCCTCTCTTCCCTCTATTTCCCTCCTTTTCCTCCCTCCTTCCACACTCTTATCCCCAAGAATCTTGTGGTATTACCAACATCAGCCTGAATTAGACAAAACTATAAGGGAAGGAAACCTTCCTCCCCATTCAGTGGAGCTGTCATTCCCAAGGCTGGGCTGACCCCCAGTGCTTTTTTTTCTCTCTCGGTCTCTCTCTGCTTGGCCAGTATGCAGGCAAAGTCATGGAAGTACATGGCAGAGTAAACTTATTAGCAAGAGACCGAAAAGTGATCACAGGAAACCAAAAAGTATCACGGAAAGGAAGGAGCTTGGCAAAGCATCTCCATACACTTTCATTTATACATTCCTGGGGTCATCCTCAGCCTGTGCATGGATGGATCTGGTAGTAATTAGCATACCAAACTTTGAGAACTCTGCCCAGGTGCCAGGCTGACCACTGGGTGACATACACAGTGGACAGATCCAAATAGCACCGCCAAGGCTTTGAAAAATGAATTGACATATGAAACATAGCCCTCAGAAGATCAACTATGGGGAGGGAAATTGCAGCCCAAATCCAACCAAGAAGAATTGGGAAAACCTCAATTCTTATGGGAAAAGATAATCAGCTGAAACTAACACTGCCATGACATAGAGGTCAGAACAATCTGACAAAGACTTTTAAAACAGCTATTATTAAAAAACTTCCAACCAGCAATCATGAACACCGCTAAAACCAATGGAAAATAGAAAGTGTCAGCCAAGACACAGATGACAGAACAAAGTGCCAAATGGAAATTTTGGCATTGAAAAATATGACAACTAAAATAAAAACTTCACTGATGAGCTCAATAGCAGAATGGAGATGACAAAGAATAGAAAGCCATGTGCAAACCAACTTCTAGCTGGGGGCCTATGTATCACTACCTTTCATTCATCTTTTCCTCTGTTTTCATTAAACGTTGTTGTATAACAATACCATACAGTTGTATATACTTGTATGCAGCTGTATAATTGTATTGTATACAACTATAACTACTGTTATGCAACAATAGTTAGTGAAAACAGAGGTAAAGATGCAAGAATATTTAGTGACTTAAACCAGAAACAATTTATGAATTTTCTCAATTCTGTGGGAGGGCTGGGCAGTTTCTCTCCTGGTCTTGCTTGGATTTGTTCATTCTTCTGCAGCCAGCAGGAGGGTTGGTTGGACTGGAAGACCAAAGATGGTCTTGCTCACAGGTCTGGCAGCTGTTGGCTGAGGTGCCTCAGTTCTCCATTTGACCTCTGAACTCTAGCAGGCTAGACTCCTTCACAGTATGGTAATCACTGGGTTCCAAGAAATTGAGAGCAAAAGCTATGAGGCTCCTTAGGGCCTAGGCTCTGGAACTCAAACAGCATCACCACTGTCATATTCTATTGGTCAAAGCAGTCACAAAGTCAGCACAGAGATAAGGGGCAAAATATTAGAATGTTTCTTGATGAGAGAAGGAGCTACATGACTATGTATGTGTGGATACAGGGAGGCATGATTATTGGGATAATTATTTCAATATCCTAGCACAACCTTCCTGGGGAGTAATGCTGCAAAACTCAAAGACCATGGATCTACAATTATTATGTCAGTAGACTAGACTGTGAGGCTTAGAGAAGTTCAGCATTTTGCCTAAGATCACACAGCTAGTTAAGGAGAAAATATGAAACTAGGTCCCATACTGCCGAGTCTTTGGACTAGTACTGTTGCCTCAGAGATAAACTGTTGAGTGTTTTGAATAGTTTTTCTCTTTAACAGGTAGAAGAACCCTAGACAACAGTTGTATAATGTGCTGGCAACCATTCATCATTCATATCCATTTCGTAAGGGAAATAAATGCATGTACTTGTGGAGTCTATGAAAAAACTGAAGTAGAGTGTCTCACGAAGAGCTATTTATTATGTAGCAATAGAGCTCCTAAACTGTTTGATGCACCAAAACAGTATATTCAGTCTCTAGAGTTCCTGACACTCAAAGGTTAATAATTTTAGTGAGATAAATTCACATAACATCAAATTAGCCATTATTTTAAAGTGTACAGTATGGTGTCATTTAATACATTCATTACATTGGGTGACCATTACCTTTATCTGGTTATAAGATATTTTTATCACCCCCAAAGGAAACTCTGTCCCCATTAAGCAGTCGCTTCCTATTTCCCTTTCTCCCTCATCCCTGGCAACCACTAGTGCACTTTCTATCTCGATAAATTTATCTATTCTGATGCTTCACATAAATGGAATCACATGATCTTTTGTGACTGGCTTCTTTCACTTAGCATGTTTCGGGGGTTCATCCATGGTGATGCATGTATCAGCATTGCATCCCTTCTTATGAATCATACAAATGTGAATAATAGTGATAATATTCCATGCATAAATATACCACATTTTGCTTATATATTCTTCAGTTGATGGGCATTTGGACTGTTTCCACTTTCTGGCTATTTTGAATAATGCTGTTATGAACATTTGTGTACAAGTATTTGTTTGAATGCCTGTTTCAATTCTTTTAGGTGTATAACTAGGAGGGGAATTGCTGGGTCATATGGTAATTCTACTAAAGTTTCATTTGGATTCTGGTCTTGAAAAGGTTTCTGAAATGCATGAGATTCATAACCTGCTGCCGGTATTACCTTGTCTCTAAAGTCAATGTGATTCTGGAGGACGGCTCTGTGGTAAGTGGCTGTCCTCACAAAATCTTGCATCATGTTCTGCTGTTGAGAAATGCAGCCATAAAACTACAAGGGAAGGAGAAAAGAGGGGGAGTAAACAACCCACAAAGTCAGCACAATCATGAGCATCTGATTCTGACAGCCACTTTGGTCAAGAAAGACATGATCTTTCACAAACAGAGAAGCTGAGGCTCTGAGAGACACAGTGACTTGGCCATGTTGGCCCTATATGTAAAGCATAGAATTCTAAGTAGATCCCAGACTTCTGACTACATAGATTCAATAGATTCAGGCCTAGATATTGACGAGAGAAGTACTCAAGATCCCTTCCTAAATCAGAGGTTATGAGAGAGCACAAATCAAGAGTAATAGACAAGTTGGGATGGTTGACACCTGCAATCCCAGAACTTTGGGAGGTTAAAGTAGGAGGATCACTTGAGCCCAAGAGTTGGAAGCTGCAGTGAGCTATAATCACACCAGTGTGCTCCAGCCTGGGCAATAGAGCGAGACCCTATCAAAAAAAAAAAAAAATAGAGTCAAGAGAGAAAGGATCCAGGGCCAAAAGGGATGGCCTGCCCTGATGAGCCCCATTAGCCTCAACAGAAAAACAGAACTTGGATAGAAATCCTGGTGGAGGTGGAAGTGGGGCAGAAGGTAGTAATCATGGTAATCCTGATGGAAACAGAGGCAAGCCAGTTGGGTGATGTGGTGTATATAAGTCCCTGAATACTAGTAAGAAATATTATTGTTGTAATTGGCACCATTTAAGGCCTTTCTATGGGCCAGGTACCATGCTAAGTGCTTCACAGTCTCATCTAATTAAATTAAAGCATCATGACAATCAGGTGAATTATGTTTCTCAGATGAGGAAGCTGAGGCTCAGAAAGATCTAGCAACTTGCCCAAGTCCTGACAATGTAATAAGTGGCAGAATGGGGATTTAAATCTATGTAATGCTGATGCTGCTGGTCTGGCGACCACATTTTGAGAACCACTGCAGTATCAATTATCTCCTCTCCACCCACCCTGCCCAGATGTGTTCAGAGGCACACCTTGAAACAAATCAATTTATTCCACAAAGGATAACCCTGCTGACCTGGAAGTACTGTGCAGCAGACGCTTCTTCTGTCCACTGGCTGAACACCGGAGTATTCCTTTTTTTGATTTCGGCATATTTTCAAAGTATTTGCAAATGCACTGAATTCTACAAGGATATAAAGCAGATCCATTTCTTCACCTTGGAAACCATAGAGCTCACCATTGCACTCTAAAAAATTCCAACTGTGAAAATATTAGAATATGAAAATGGCATATTCATCCCTGAACACATACATGATAAGAGATGGCAAGGCGGAAATGGGTACTATTCCGAGCTGTGACACCCTTATTTATACTTGTCAGACATATTTGCATTCAGAAATGTCAAGTGAGAGAGCACAAAGAAACACAGGCAGAGACTGGGCTCCAGAAATTCTCCTGGTGCTGCGCTTACAAAGCTCATAGATTTATACTCAGAAAGTGCTCTAGGGAAGGTGATTGTTGATAATAAGAAAAAAAAATATGTGAATACAAAAAACAGAATGTATACATACATATACACACATATATTTTATATAGACATTCATATAGCCTCATTCTATTGTCATGACCATTTTTTCTCTCTCATTTAGTATTACCTAAATGTATAGAGAAAAGGTAAAATAACTGGGGATATTTGAATACAAAGAAATGCTTTGTCATTTGAGGAAAGAATATTGAAGTGAAAGCTCAAAAAATTCCAGAAGTGATATTGCTAATAGATAACACAGTGTTCACAGTGGCCATTTCCTGTGACTTCTGCCTCAGAGATGTCTTATGAATACTGCCCAGTAGTCTCCACTGTCTGTGGCCTCTTTCCATTCCACCACAGGCACTGTGACCAGGTCTCTCCCTTATACTATAGCCTTGGCTGGATCCCTAGTGCCCACACACTCTTGGTTCATGATAAGTTCTCTGGCCCCTCACATTCTAGACCCAACCTAGATAGTCTAGATGATCCTGTCCAGTAACCTGTATGCACTTTCCAGAACCCTCTCCGTGCTGTCTTCCTGCACACATGAGACCTGCCCTATGACCTCCATGCTTCCACCATGCTGAACACTTACAAATTCCCACATCAACCCAGTCCTGGCCAGGAATCTTGACTTTGAATCCCTCTATTTTTTTTCTGTTAGATTATCCTTTGACGTCAAATTCTATTCATCCTCCCAGATTCTATTCAACTAGCATTTCTTCACTGCTGTATTCTGGAACATCATAGACAGAATTAGTTGCTGTAATAGAGTGGATCTCAAACTCAGCTCTAGATCAGAATTACTTGGGAAGATTTTTTAACCTACAGGATACTGGACCCTCACCCTACATCTAGTAATTAAATGTTCTAGTGGTAGGGAAAAGGCATCTCTATTTTTAAAAAAGCCTCCAGAGTAAATTCTCCTGTGTAGCCAAGGATGAGAAACATCTTTCCAATCTCACGTTCTAAGCTTACCATCATCATTCACGCTATACTGAACTTACAGATTTTAAAAAATCACCATCTCCCTACCTAAATCAAGTTTTTGGGAAACTGTTTAGGGGGTGTCTTAGTCCATTTTGTATTACTACATCAGAATACCACAGATTGGGTAGTTTATAAATAACAGTAATTAATTTCTTACAGTTCTGGAGTCTGGGAAGTCCAAGGTTAAGGGACGATATCTGGTGAGGACCTTCTTGCTGTGCCTTACCATGGCAGAAGGCAGAGGGCCTTCTCTGTGCAACAGCAAGAGCAAGAGACAGAGAGGGTCCCCTTTATAACAACCCACTCTATTGACATTAGCCATTACATGAGAGTGGAGCTCTCATGGCTTACTCTGTTGTGGGAAGTCAGGGACCCTGAACGGAGTGATTGACTGAAGCCGTGGCAGAAGAACATAAATTGTGACGATTTCATGGACATTTATTAGTTCCCCAAATTTATACTTTTATAATTTCTTATGACTGTCTTTATTGTAATCTCTGAACATAAATTGTGAAGATTTCATGGACATTTATCACTTCCCCAATCAATACCCTTGTGATTTCCTATGCCTGTCTTTACTTTCATCTCTTAATCCTGTCATCTTCTTCGTAAACTGAGGAGGATGAATGTCGCCTCAGGACCCTGTGATGGTTGTGTCAACTGCACAACTTGTTTGTAGAGCATGTGTGTTTGAATATGAAATCTGGGCATCTTAAAAAAAGAACAGGATAACATTGATGTTCAGGGAACAAGGGAAGTAACTTTGAACTGGCCGCCAGTGAGCCGGATGGAACAGAGCCATATTTCTCCTCTTTCAAAAGCAAATAGGAGAAATATCGCTGAATTCTTTTTCTCAGCAAGGAACAACCTTGAGAAAGAGAATGCGCCCTGAGGGTAGGTTTGTAGATGGCCCCCTTAAGGCGTGCCGTCTTTTATGGTCAAGCGAAAAGGATGAAATAAGCCCCGGTCTCCTGTAGCGCTCCCAGGCTTATTAGGATGAGGAAATTCCCACCTAATAAATTTTGGTCAGACATGTTGTCTGCTCTCAAACCCTGTTTCCTGATAAGATGTTATCAATTACAATGCGGGCCGGAAACTTCATTAGCAATTTTAATTTCGCCCCATCCGGTTGGTCCTGTGATCTCACCCTGCCTCCATTTGCTTTGTGATATTTTATTACCTTGTGAAGCATGTGATCTCTGTGACCCACACCCTATTCGTGTACTCCCTCCCCTTTTGAAAATTGTTAATAAAAACTTGCTGGTTTTACCACTCGGGGAACATCATGGATCCTGCCGACACGTGATGTCTCCCCCGGACACCCAGCTTTAAATTTCTCTCTCTTGTGCTCTTTCTGTTTATTTCTCAAACCGGTGGAGACACCTAGGAAATAGAAAAGAACCCATGTAACCATCTGGAGCAGGTTCTCCCGATATTACTCACTTCTTAAAAGTCATACTTCTTTTTTGTTTTTTTTGTTTTGAGTCAAAGTTCACTCTTGTCACTCAGGGTGGAGTGCAATGGCATGATCTCAGCTCACTGCAACCTCCACCTCCTGGTTTCAAGCGATTCTCCTGCCTCAGCCTCCTGAGTAGCTGGGATTACAAGTGCCTGCCACCATGCCCAGCTAATTTTTGTGTTTTTAGTAGAGATGGGTTTCACCATATTGGCCAGGCTGGTCTTGAACTCCTGACAACAGGTGATACACCCACCTAGGTCTCCCAAAGTGCTGGGATTATAGGCGTGAGCCACCATGCCTAGCCAAAGTCACACTTATTAATACTGTCACAATGGCAATTAAATTTTAATATAAGTTTTGCAGGTGACACTTAAACCACAGCAGAAGTTTAAGCCTCATTTATTGCTAGTCTCTAGAACACAGTGCTAATGTAGTAGCCACCCTAACAAATAAGTCTGAAATGTAAATTCAATACATTTGGGAAAATGACCAATGAACTTGGTAAAACTATTTAATTTGAGAAGCAGCCCTGTGAGGCCCTGGGGCCATCCCATGTGGGGACAGATAGTTCGATAAAAGATCTTGTTGGAAAATAAACATGCAAACACATGTAACCACTGCCTCTCCTGCACAAGGGAATGCCATCTCCTCGAAAGGACCTCGAGAAGGATAATGGGAGGAGTTCTTGGTGGAAATGTAGATCAGGATTAGATTTACAGTATACCCTGAACAATCACTATTTCACCAATTTGTAAGGGATCATACCAAGTAATTAACCTCACCTCACTAATGTTTCCATGTGGATTTTTAAAAATGAAAACAGAAGGATTCTTTGATTAAAAATGTCTCTTCATTATACAATTTCTGTCAACTCTATCTTTTGCAATTATACCCCTATAAAGGAAAGGATGCAAATGATGGTTTAAAAATAACTACAAAACTAACAAATGAAAAGTATAAAAAATTTAGAAAAATGCAACAAATCAAAAAGAATAAAATAAAAAGAACAATTCCATTATAGAAGTGACTAATTATGCTTAACATTTCGGGTATGCTTGTGTGTGTGTAAAAATTCCTCTTACTTATAAAATTACATTGTATTATTTTATAACCAGTAATTTTTATTTAACATGCTATGAATAATGTCCTAGGCCATTAAGTAGTCTTCTCTACCTTATTGCTAATGGATATATGATTTCAGCTTAATAATGTGCCATAATTTGACCAATTCCCTGTGGCTACATTTCCAAGCCTCACTCCAAGTCTACTGTATCAGAATGATAAAACCCAGAATCTGTATCCCTGGTGATTCTGGTAACAAGAAAGTTTCAGCCAATAAAGTATGGTAACATTCACATAGTAAGAATATCCTATTACAGTAAAAGCAATGCCATTTCTTCACAGCATCTTCCTACACATAAAAATCAATGTATTGGTTGACATTTCTGTTCTCCTATGATTTTTTTTTGACCTGTTCTTTCTCTTTCTTTCTTTTGTTTTCTCTTTTTTTTTTGAGATAGGGTTCACTCTGTCCCCTAGACTGGAGTTCAGTGGCACAATCTTAGCTCACCACAACCTCCACCTCCTAGGTTCAAGCAATTCTCTTGCTTCAGCCTCTCAGGTAGCTGGGATTATTGGTGTGAGCCACTACCGCCTGGCTAATTTTTGTATTTTTAATAGAGACAGGGTTTCGCCATGTTGGCCAGGCTGGTCTTGAACTCCTGACCTCAAATGATTCACCCTTCTCAGCCTCCCAAAGTGCTGGAATTACAAGTGTGAGCCACCACACCCGGCCTTAACCATTTTCTTTTGCAATTAAAAAAAAAATTTCTCTTACTTAACCATATAAAATTTGGAAATGCAGAAAAGCCAAAAAGGAAAAATAATTCCCAGAGATAATCGCTGATAACATTTTGGGACTTTCCCAGGAATTTTTATTTACATTTTTACATCTATCTCCATATTATATACAACAATACTATTGTACTCTATTGGTTTATGACCTGCTTTTTCACTACTAGCAATATACTGTTAGCTTTCTTCTGTGTCAACACTTTTCATAGAGACTCACTCAACTACACATAAAGCTACAAAGCTCCTTAATTGTCATGTCATTTTGCTCATTTCTCCAGTTTGTTCTCAGAGGCAACATCAGAGACTAAGTAGATCTTAATTTTTCTTAATTTCAACAATGTTTTTTGACTAT